ATCTGGTACACAAACACACAGAAATCAGGCAATGGCAAGTGATGCATATTTTAAGGATATAATGTCAGGTTTTCATAAACAAGATTAGCCATTGTCCAAATGAAATCTCCTGAAACAGTGATTCCACTTTGCAGAGTTCACTTTGACACGCCTGGCAGTCTGATTGTATCCACAGAGATCTCTCTCTGTGTGTGTGTGTGTGTGTGTGTAACACATTGACATAACGGCGACTTGGTTTATACAGTCATATAAATAATCTTATCTAACTTCATACACACACCTCATCACAACTCTAAACAGTCGTGGTCTCCCAAGATGATACCACGATGAGCTTATAAGTCTGGCTGTCAGCAATGCCACCTGGGTCTCATATACAGCGAATAACAGCATTAACATAAATGGACTGATGATTGGTGAATTTCAGGGTGTTCTGCTGTGAATTTGGTCCTTTGGTGCAGATTTGTTAAAAGGTTTCCACAGAAAACAGGATGCAGTGCGGTTCATGAACTCATTTGTTTAAGGGCACTATTTCAGAAATGAAATCTAAATGACTTCAGTTCATCGGCCTTTAAAAATTTGTAGAAGTCCACTTCACAACATGGCAATCATAATAAAAGCCCTGACCCATAGAGCACCTCAGAGAGAGAGAGATGATTCATATGGGATAAGATTAATTTGGAACAGGGTTTGGTCGTGTTTCACATCCTGAATAAATCTTTGGTTTTTCCCTATAAGTTACACAAATCTTGTTGATTTATAAGAACCGTTTTTGTTTTTTTTTTTCTTGCTTGTTTTCAGGCCTCTCAGAATCTTTCCATTTGCCATAAACCTAAGAAAAAAAGACAACAACTGAATCTTTAGTCTACATAAAACCTTAATTTATACATTCTTAATGTTTTGTGTAATCCTGCTGCAGTGCATTTGGAAAGTCATTCCTGAATTAGAGTTTCGAGTTTGTTCACCACCACCATTATGAAATGCAGCGAGCAGAACGTCAGTCCGGCCAAGACTTTAAGTCAGCCAGACTCTGAGAAAATTATAAGTCATTTTGTTTCAGTGTTTTATTTTTGGATTATAAATGATAATATTTATGTATATTTATGCATTTGTGCTTTTTAATTTCGTAACAAGTATAAATGCTCTAATTATCAGGCACACCTTATTTTAAACTCAAATGCTTTTTGGAGGACACTCAAAAATATGAATGCAATGCAGTCGGTTGCTGTTTGAAAAACAAACTCATAAACTCTCTCATTAGAGAGATGCTCTGGACAGTTCATGACCTCTCATTTGTTTTATATGCAGTTGGATAATGCTGTATGTGCCGGTTTAGGGGCGAGCAGGCAGTGTGTGTGTGAGAGAGAGAGAGACACAGTGAGCATGTGGTGTGGTATTTAGGTCACATTTCCAGCAGGCTGGTTTTCCAGCGTCAGACAGAATTTAAGAGTGAGGTTCTGCAAGTTCTGGACGAGTTTTTCAGCCTCAGAGTGAGCTAGTAAAGCAGGTTCTTCATTTTTTTTGCTATAATGTCCGTGCGGCTTCATCATAAACGCATTAAGATTTAATAGGCTGTGGAGCAAGCTACTCCCAAATGAACCTCTGTGACTACGGCCTCACTTTTCATAGTCACCCTCCTTTAAATCTCAGGAAAGATGTTTCACACAGACACACACAAAAATATAACTACCTTCTCAGATACACACCCTTTAGACAATTAAAATGATTTACAGATTAGAAATTATGTTTTGGCGTGATACCAGTAACATTTCAGAGACATGTTTGTGCACTTCTACCACTTGAAACATATTCTGCTCATACATAGTCTTGGTAAGTATTTTGACACAATTAACATATAGGCCTAATTGTAATTACATATACATGAACATACATGTAATTACAAACACTGAATTATACTGTAAGTGGCAAAACCAGGTATTCAGGGGGAAAAAAAATTGAGAGACAGATAAGAGAGAGAGAGAGCGGCTACTCTACTGACATAGACAAATGAGAGGACATGAATGAAACCACCCTGAAACTTCCCCCCCTACAGATCACTGGGAATTAGAGTGAGTTAGGGGGCAGATGGAGCAGAGAGACAGTAAGAGAGAAAGAGAGTTCCCCTGCTGCTCCTGCTAAAAGTGTCCTACACACAGAGTGAGTGGAGGAAACAGTGATTTAGAGAAGGAAAGACTTGTTTCTACAGAGCTCGTTAAAAAATAATTAACAATTAAAGCAAGTAAAATAGAGGAAGAGAATGAAATAACTGTATAATCCCTCGACCTCCATCTCTGTCTGTCTCTAACTCTCCAGGCATCAATCTCTCCTTCTCTGCTTTGCAAGGTAGCAGACGTTATAGTTCAATATTTATCTTATTCTCCGACTGCGGCTCTAATTCACATGTGAACCCTTTCACAGAGAGACCACCGAACATCAGGGGGGAATTGTCAAATTTATACGTGTGTGTGTGTTATTTTTCACATTAGTTTTTTACTGTTTTTGATCTCTCTTTAATATGCTATTGATCAACAAAAATTCAGGATTTATTGATGAATAGAAAGTTCAAGAGAACATTTATTTAAAATAGAAATCATTTACGCAAGAAAAAAAAACAGCAACAAAAAAAGTCAAGTTTAACACATCTTTCTGAAAAGTGTTGTGCACTAAATAAATAAATGATACTGTATAATATAATTTATATATTTCATATATTTTTGTTTGTATAATACTTAATATATAATAAATATATAATGAATGTGTAAAAAAAAAATGAGACCTTCTTATTATGCAATCCCATTTGGCTAAAAATGGTTTAAACATTCCAAATGGTCAACCAACCAAAGTAAGCACGTTTTTGAATAGCATTTTGAGTATTTTGAAACGGGAAATGATGAGGATGCGGGAACTTGTCTGGAAACAGGAGGATGCCATTTCTCAGGATAATAATCAAGTGTGTTCTGATGCCAGCTGCAGGGAGCAGTTCAGTGTTCAAGTCTGATTGGATTACTGACGAGATGAGAGATCACGGGCTTGATTGTTCTCTTCCATCTAACGCTGCATCATCAAACAGATGATAAAATAAAATCACAGACTTACGTCTTTCTCTTTCTCTCACTGTTTTCAAGTCTTTCCACTTATTTCTAACTTCACCCGTTGGGCCGTTGAACTCCCTCCTCCGGTTCTCTCGGTAGATTCTCTCTCCCTCCCTCTGGGGTCTGTAATAGTAGCAGATAGAAGCTTGCAGAGCCCACGGCATTTACCCAGAATGCACTTGGGGTGAGTGGGCAGTAAATCTAATATCAGTCTTGTGCAGATTGATCACCTGTCACATGACTCTCCTAATACTCTCTAAGTCTCTCCTTGTGTCTCAGTCTCGCACACAAAAAAACTTAAGTGATATTTTAGTGAATATAGTAAATTGTTTGTCATTCCTATATTCAATTATACACTCTACTTGTGCAATACTATGGTCCTGTCCCAAATGGCACCCTAAACACTTGCGGTCTTATACGAGTCCTACGGCTTGACAAAAGTGTGCATCGAGGGTGCATATTGACCGCGAAGGGGGTGCTCGCGGACTTAATGGACACGCGGCCGCGGCAGCCATTGTAAGTCCACAAGACCGAAAGTGCATATGAAGTATGCCATTTGCGACAGGATCTTATCACCTCAAAACGCTTTTAAAACAGTGCATTGTAACCTGATATATTTTGACATTTGTATCGCATAACTAGTTCCATATATATGGTTGTGTCTAAGTTTTTTTGCTAGATCAACTGATACAGTACTGCGCTTCTGATGCAGAGACATGATAAAAGAGCATGAAAAAACATGTAAAGGCAGGTTGAAAGGGTATGGTTACTTTAGAAACTGTGTTTAATTTCTCATTTGCTTTTGTTAATACTAACTGTTAAGTTAAGACTTGAGTTTAGGGTAGGCAGCCCAAGTTGCCATGATAAATGTTAAAAAATTGCCATAAAACGGAAGTTGCAATAGTCTTTCCTTCCATATTGTTATATCCCATTGAAACGACTTCTCAAACAAGAAGCTTTGGGACTTGAGTTTGTCCATCAGGAATTGATTGGATTGTTGGATTGTGGTTTGCTATTGCTGTGATTTGATGTGAGTGACAGGTCCCGTCCTCGCGCAAGTAAACACTTCATCAGAGAAGAGATGTTGTTTCAAGAGTTAGTTTTAAGTAAAGATAACGGCACCTGATTAAAAAAAATAATAATGTGCACGGTTAAATCATTTATAGTACATACTATAATACATACTGTAATATCCATTAAAAGATTTGTACATTTTGATTTCATGGGGACTTTGACCTTTTAGCGCCACTCACCAGACATTATTTTCACACTGTCGGGATATGTAGCTACAACCAATATAATAAACAAGGCCAGATTCACGTTCATCTGTTCTGGGTAAAACTGAATCTACCTTTTGAGCAACTAATTGGACATTTCAATCGAAATGTGCAAGATGCAATGCAATATCAGTTTGTAGAAATGTCACCACATGCATGTATTTCCAATGATCCTCTCAACATGTTATGGCCAATCAATTTGCATGATAAATTAGAAATAATGTCAAAAGTTTTAATATATAGCATAACGCTAACCTGCATCAAGATAGCAGACAACAGAATACTTCCATGAGTCCGTTAGACATGAGACAGAATGCTTTTGCAGTCCAACCACTCAATGAAACTTTAATGCGCTGAAGTCAAACAAGAGTGTTTGTGAGCGAGTCTTGAGTGGCCGTGTAGATACCCAGAGGCATTATTAAATATTTGTGACACAGAGAACGTCACTCGCTGAGACAGTCACAGCCTGTTATGTTTGAAAAAGCAGCACAGTTTGTGTTTGTGTGTAATCAAGACAGAAAAACCAATGTATAGCATGAGTACATCGGACCGAAAATGACTGCTGCAGAGACACATGCAAATTCATTCATTCGCTCTCATAGACAAGAGGTCACAAACACAAGAGACAAGCAGCTTCCATAGGAAAAAACTTTATTTATCCTTTTAAAATGCTTTCTGAGGGCTGAGACTTGGCTTTAGTGTCATATATCGGGGAACTCTGAGGACACTGTGAATTCTACCAAAAAAAAAAACAGTGTCGCCACAGGGGCGTCAGCACTGCCAACACATACATCAAAACTTAAATCAATAATACTGAAATCTGCAACAAAAACGTAGTAAAAGAAAAATTATAACAATAATAATGTAGTTCACTGAATAATAATTAAAAAATCAGCAACAGCAGGAGGAAACATTGTGCAGCATAAGCTTTTTTCTGAACATTTTTTGTGGGTGTCGCGGTTGGCCTAACGGCCTCAGCACTGCACTGACCCGCGCTATGAACAAGTCATTTTTGTGAAAGAGTGGATGAACTGTGTGTGATGGGGATGAATCTAGGCCAGGGAAAAGGTTTTCTCATTAGATTTGTCTCTCTCATAATATTGTGTTAATCCTCACAGGGTCAAAAGGCACCACCAATCTGTCTCTTTGCCGGGGGAGGGGGGGGGGGTTGTTTGCATGTGTTTAGGTGAATAAGTTCTCCACAAATAAGTCAACTTCATTGGGAGAAATGCTATTAACAGATGTCTGAAAGATTCACACAACATCACTGGTGTCAAACCGCAGCATTAGGGAGGAATCAAAGCCTCAACTATTTTCCGGTAAACAAGATGGCTGACTTTTTTCACTCTATTATTGTGGTACAGACAAACGTCAAAGAAGTGTATTCCTTACAGCTGCTAAGTGTGCCGCTAAGCTGCAAAAAGCCTGCAGCAAAAGACAGTCAGTCACTGAATAAGTTCTCACCACAGCAGTGCTGATCCATAAACTACACAATCTATTCATAGCTTTTGCTGTTAAATAATGTACAGAGATGCCAAAATTGGGTTAACTTTATGCACTGCAAAAACAAAAAAAAACAGTAAAATATCTAAACTGATTTCGTTTTATTTATTTATTTATTTTTGCAGTGCAATACTTCGACTTGCTCGCTTTCACAAGCTGACTGGTCAGTTCACCCCTGCATTTCAATGGTAAATACAAAGCCATGAATTTCAAAAAGTGCTCTTCTAATGTCAATCGTAAAGACCTGATTTGCCAAACACTCAGACAAACATACATAAATATTCAGTTTAGTTGCACAAGCTGTTGCTGGTTTCATTTTTTTTTTTAATGTAGTTTGCTGGTGCTTGCCCTGTATCTAATGGTGTTTATATATAGTGTATGTATTGTGTGCTATAAGAATGGTATGTCAGTCTGTAAGTGTGTGTGTATTTAAGGATTTCTTGAGTAATAACTGTTTCTCTCTCCTCTTTTCCTCCTCCATGAACCATGTCATGGAATATTTGACCTGGTTCCATCACAGCATTTGTAAAAATGAAACAAAACAAAAATACCATTCCCTGGTGTAATAGGGAGGATAAAGTGTGTGTATGTGCGTGTGTGTATGTGAAGGGACTTGCATGTCTTTATGCTTCTTTAGGCTGACCTTTTAAAACCCGTTCTACAGGGACCTCTAAGTCTCCTTAATCAAAAACCAACCGAAACGGGAAAAAAAAAAACAATTTAAAATAAAGAGAAAACCATGAAACATTTTACTTACAAAATGTCTTTTTTTTCCAAAAAAGACTATTTACAAAAGCTTTTGCACTTTCAAAAATCCTAATTATATTTTAATTAACAGGGTCTATAATAAAATGGAACTTTATATTCAACATTTTCTCCCAACATACATTATTTACATAATCTCGGGCTTTAGAAACTAAATTAAGAGGAATTGACGACAAAAAACACAAGTAATAAACCCTAATCGAAATATAATTTCAAAAATCTATTTTACGAGAAAGCTACAGAGAAATATCAGGCTTCCTCTGATTGGCTGCGCTTGAGGCCAGATGCAAATGCTGCTAATTTTAAATTAGCATAGGCGTAAACGCACCTGCCGCCACTGTTTACTGTTTATCATTTCACGTGCAGTCCATACAAAAATAGATCTAGCACTACATTTTCCAGGATTCGTAGATGATTACGGGGTTTTTTTTCTGCGTGTGTTTGTATGCAAACTGGAATAAGTGATGTGCATATCTTAGAGGATGGAGAGGTGAAGGCATAATTTCACATGTATGTCGATAGATTTTTGGCTTCTGCATGGTACTCCACATACACACGGTCATACTGGTTAGAGCCCACGTCTACTTCCAAACAGCGAGACGTGAATTATACACACACACAAAAAAGACATTAGTGAGCTAAATTATGCAAAGATATGCGTTAGCATGTTTTGAGACTGAAAAGAGGTCATAGGCTCATGGTGTAGAGGCAAATCCCTTAAGATTTTTTTTGACCTACAAACCTTTGGGAGATAGAATAAGAAATAAAAAAAAATAATGGCAAAATACAAATATTAGCACCTCACGCATCACTGACAACAGATATCTACTTGTCTTCGGCTGAGAGGGGAGAGGATTTCAACTGAACTGTTTCTTAAATGAACAAAAGGCAGACTGGGACTTCTGGAAGGTCTGACACTGGTGTTTACATATTAAATTCCCTATTTCACTCACTTACTTTTCCACCGAGAGGCTGTTTGTTACTGACCCATGAACACCAAAGTGCATGTATGAGTGTCAGTGTGTTTGTTCAATTGCCTCTACAGCATGTAAAATGAATGAGTGTCTGGAGAGACGCTAGGAAATGAGATGAGAGGACATACTGAGAGCTTTAGTAACAGTGCTTAAGACATTTCTTTGAGCGAGACTTTGAAAGCTGCAAGAATTGGATTGATACTGATAAAAACAAAACACTGATGGAGTGAGAGACGAAAAAGAGGCAAAAAGCTAAGCAAAGGGTTGTAAAGGTACAAAAACCACACAGGAATGAGAGCTTCCTGCTTTGTGATGTCACTGTAGCGTCCTTCTGTGACTGCTTGTCGGCTGTTCTTCAGCAGTGAAGTCCGTGCCTGAGTGCCACGCAACTTGGGGAGGTTTTCTACCATTTCACGCACATATCGAGAGCGACCGGCACACACACATACACACAGTGTAGTGTTCGGAAAAGGGACGGAGGGAAGGAAATCTGAGAGGAATATCATCCACGTAGTCTTTTTCATTCCTCCTTTCCACTTCTCCCTCTCCATCCTCTTGCACGCGGAGCAGACGGGGTTAGGTAATGAAAAAAAAGAGTCAGAATACCTTACAAAAACAGGTTCTTATTGCGGTTGCTTCGCTCTCGTTCTCTCAGACTTTGTAGTAGATATTGGCAGGGCTCTGGGGTGGCATTTCCTGCACTATGTAGACGGGGTGCCCATAGTCACCGCTCACTTTTTCATAGTGTGGACAGTAGTTATTCTCTGATGTCCGCAGGGGGATGATGATGTCACTGGGTTCTGAGCCAGCCTGGGCGGATCCTTTGGGCGTGGCCAGAGTGCTGAGTGACAGGGCAGTCCCACCCCTGGGCTGCGAGTGCTTGCGGGTTCTCTTGCGAAGCTTGAGGAGCAAGACGATGAGGATGATGATGATGAGGAGGAAGATGACACAACCGGCTCCAATTGCAGCAAAGAGAGCTGGTTTAGAGGCAAAAATGCCTTCCACTGAACCAGGACTGCTATCCTGGTTTCTCTGGTCTGAGAGGGATAAAGAAAGACGTTATGAAAGACATTTTTCTTTTTCTTTAGAATTTATTGTTTAAGATTATGTTAGCAACACACACACTGATTATCAGTGTTTAGAGTCGCTCTTTGTTGTCAGAGGCAAAGATAACAGACAATGGCTGTAGAAACAAAACTTTGTGTTTGTTTGCATTGGCACTGAGCAACTATTAAAGTGAATAAAACTGTTGCTGTGATTATCGTTGCGCTCTCAGCTGAAACAGCTACAGATGACTCCTGAAGCTAAATGGGCTTTATGAATAATAAAATCCATGTTGTCAAGTATATTTAACAGCAGTATGAAGCTAAACAACACACAACCAGACTGGAATAATCCTTCCAAATGGTAGTCCAGCATGTACAAAACTTTTAGCACTGCAAACTAGCCTTGTATTACAGTGTCTTGCAAACAAAATTTAAGAATAGTTTACGAATTCATGTTTAATAGGTTTAAGATGGTTCACAATGGTCAACTTGTCATTCTTAGTAAGGTTAAATCTTTACACTACCAGTCAAGTGTTTGGGGTCAGTATGTTTTTTTGTTGTTTTTTTAAAGTATTTTAATCTTTACCACAGCAGCATTTATTTGATCGAAGTCAAAGCATCAATATTGTGAAATATTATTACAATTATTTTAAAAATTATTTAAAATGTATTTCTGTGATGTCAAAGCTGATTTTTCAGCATCATTACTCCAGTCTTCAGTGTCACATGATCCTTCAGAAATCATTCTAATATCCGGATTTGTTTCTCAAGAAACATTTCTTATTATTATCAATGTTGAAAACAATTCTGCTGCTTAATATTTTAGAGAGAAATAAAAACGGGTGAATCTTTTACAATAATATTAATAACATACTAACAGAAAATAGTGAATTTACATATGCCATCTTTAACTGTAACAAATGTGACATAAAACCCTTGTATTCTGGTTTATTTTGTTTACATTCTAGCTATTTTTTTTAAAAATCTTATCTAAGCATGTCCAAATGGAATCATTTGATCCTGAACCTCGTTTAATTTATCCCAATTAGTCGACTAGTTGTTCAGATAACCCACAACTAGCTAATTTTGAGATGTAATAGCAGTTAATGTCTGAGTGTCCTCTTGGAGCAAAAGAACCTGACCTCAAGAATCTGTGTGGTGTGATCACTGCAGAGATGCAGCATGAGTCCCTCTGTTGTTTCTTAATGATTCTGTCTCTGTTTCTCTCTTTCTTTCTCTCCTAATGAAGTTTAGACCTCCCGTAGGTTAATGGCTGCTAGGACGTGATAAAGACATGCTACGTTAACTCCTGTCTCTCTCTTGCACACACACACCTGCCTGAGGGAGGCAGTAGCTCTGCATTGCTGTATTTCATCTGCTGGTTTTCTTGGTGAAATTTATTGTGGTACACCTTCACAGCTGAACTGCTGAAGATCAGTTTGTCCTCTGAATACCCAATGTCATTTGGAGGAAAACCCCATCATGTTCCCAAACCAAGTGACTTAAACACAGATGATTTGTGTTTCCTCACCTTTGTCGGGCATTGTGGATTCTTTCCCATCTATGCCTTTCTCTTTGCCTCGGTCTATCTTGCGGGAAGGGCTGGTTGTGGGATCCTTGATCTCATTGTCCTGGTCCCGGTCTAGGAGGTCCGTTAAATCTGGATCTGGTGCATTTGGATCTGAAATATAAAATCGCATACATAACAAATTAAGAAAAAAACATTCAAGGAAATCAATTTCAGAACAGCATATGTTTGAATGTATTCCTTTAGATTTTAAAATGTCCAGTTTCTGTTGACGAGACAGGCGCCTTAGAGTCCTAGAGACAGAAACTAACTTGGATTATGTTCAACTGCAATCTAATTGGTGGTTAATGACTCAGCTGACTTAATCATTCACCAAATGGGGCTTAAATAACTTTACCTTTGGACATGCTGAAGATAAAGAAGGTGTGTGTGTGTGTGTGTGTGTAACTCACCTTGGCCCACTTTCATGATGATCTTCATAGATCTCGTGCTACAAACTCCACCTTCTCTGTTTTCCAACCCTTCCTGTGTTGCATTAGAAGTTGCTGGAGACAGAGAGAGACAGAGAGGGGGTTAGTCATTGTTGGGGTGAATTAGGTTTAGATTTATAGGACGTTTGATTGGAGTTCTTGCTGCAAACCAAAGCAGGAAACGGAAACCCTAATTTACCTCTATAAATCAGACGCAAAACACAAGCACATGCAAACACATATACACACACAGTCTTTGGCTAAGGAAATACTCGTTCTGCCCTTAAATCAGACATTGCAACCTAATATATTACCTTAGAAACATCCAAAAACAAACTAACGCTTGTGTGTGTGTCTCGAGAATATGGACAAGATGAAAAAAGCTCAGTGTATTCTCCTGTTACTAGTCCCTATGATAGTAATCTGATCCCATGGGAATGCACAAACACACACACACACACACAGAGAGAAAGAGCAATGCAGTAAGAAAAGCCATGTGTATGAATTTTCTCTTTTTCTTTCGTAGGCCCAAAAGCCTCAACGATTTGTACAGAATGAACCTTGTGAGTTTAAAAAATATGCCACAATGCATACCCTGTTGCGTCTCTGCTATGTGTCTGAGAAAGAGGTAAATGTGAGAGAGAGTGAGTTAGCTCTAAAAAAGAGACACACGCATATACAAAATGCACAAACACACACTCCAATTATGTAGTTAAATAAACCGATATTGTCACAGCGGGTAATCCGCCATCATTCAATTTAACCCCCAATTACATTCGCACAAGGTCACGCGCACACACATACACATTATTAGCTTCCATTAGTTTGTACTCATTAAGAGGTGTGAGTGAGACGTGCTGAGTGTGTACATGTGTAAGTGTAAGCACAAAACTACAGAACAGGTAAGATAAGAAAATATGCTTATTCACTAAAATGCGCACTCATTTACAGCTATCACACAGACTACGATGAGTTCCTCACTGGATTTGTCACTTTAAAATTAGGAGTTTTTCACTTCAAACAAAGAAGAAGAATATCATTTTAATTTAGGAGCATTTCCTGTTTGATTGCTCAAGTTAATCAAGGAATAATATAAAGACAAAAGTTGTGTCCCATTTCACACACTCGTGCATTTTGTAGTAGCAGTGTACATACTGTGTTCACACCGAATGACGGAGAAAGGCGTAGTTCACTACGAGTATCTGTTTTAAAACATTCTAAAGCGAACAGAAATTTATCATGTGCATTAAACATAATTTCTTTCAAATGGAACGGCAAATAAGGTCCTCAGACTACAAATACAAAACAGAAAAAAGCCAGTTTGCTTTTTAAAAGATCTTGCTTGCGATCAGAATCACTAGTTCTGCGTGAATCGTTGAGAGTCATTACAGATATTGCAATGAACTCTCTCACCGAACTGTAAATTATTTTTCAGTTATGGCTGATTTGAAATGAACCATGAACCATTACTAGTAATTAAACATACGTTTTCACAAAACAGTTTTGTAGATGAGATGTTTTTTCAAACAGACAAATAATTTTTCAAAACAGATTTTTTTTTTTTATAATGGAACACATATAATCAGGTGACTGCATTAATGACAGGTTCTGTGATTAAATATAAATATTTAATTCCCTAAAAATGTTTGGCTCTCTTGTTGTTGTTGTTTTTTTTTTTTTTTTGGATCCCGCGAATACCGACTTTCTTGCTTTCAATTTCAACATTGTCATCACTTAAAGAGCAAGATTCTAGTTATCATTCTTTGGACCAGTATTGACTTTATGAAACTTTCGAGCAGAAGTATGTATCCTTGTTAGGAAAGAGCTGCGAGAGACTCCAATGAGGGAGAAAGGCCAGGGCACAGTGATTGTGAATGGTCCTTTGTGGGCGTGTATGGGGGAGGGGTGATGTGTGTGGTTGCTAGGAGCTGCTATGATGTCATGCAGATTGAGATGTATGGCAGTAGGCAGAGTGCCAGTCTCCTTACGGTAGCGCCATGCCAACCTGTCACCGTGCCAACCACGGAATAGCATCACACGGTGCTGCTCTACCCACACACACACACACACACACCACCCTGACTCCAGCACACTCTCACTTCAGGCTAAAACACAACAGACATTCCAGACAGGCAGGGTAATCCCACCCTGTGTACTGTTAGCAATGGGATGGATTGGCTATGAAGCATTTTTTTTTTTTTTTGCGGCCACATTCTGTTGTCACTACATCACTGCTGGATTTTAACTGGTCAGAACATTTTGGTCTTAATAGTTTCCTGCCTCTGTGCACTAAAAAAAAGAAAGAAATTTCTGCATGGATTAAACAAACTCTTCATTTCTAGACAGACTCATGACGAACTGAATTCCAAGAAGTGTAAAATCAATACTGAGAACACAGCAGGTATTTGTAAAAAGAATATACCGTAAACACAACACACAAACACGTAAATCCCAGATGACCAGGCTGGGAGATTAACGTGATTTAGATTTAAAACAAGGTGTAAACGCACATTAAAAATGTGAAGGGGTTGGGGATTTACCATCTGCCTCTCTGTGTTTGTGTGTGTGTGTGTGTGTGTGTGTGAGTGAGAGAGAGAGAGAGAGACACAAAGAATAGAATATTCAGTCTTGTCACAATACATATAGTGTTGCCCCAGTTAGCATCTCTTATTGACTGACATATAGTGTGGATGTGTGTGTGTGTGTGTGTGTGTGTGTGTGTATCAGTATTTGTTTGTAGCTGTAAGCTCATTCTTCTGCCATCATGCAGCCATCTCATGCCTGCCTCATCTGTTTTCAAACACGCACACAATCCCTGAAGTAGAAAACACAGTATTAGTATTAATATAAAGTAAATATAAAATATAAAGTAGTTTTGTCCAATATTTTCATATCATTGTTTTGCAATGATATATAGTGATAGTCCAATATATCCACCAGTCGAATAAATGGTTGATACATTATAAAATATAATAATTATATATATATATATATATATATATACACTGTCAAATATTGTAATATGTTTATATGATATGTGTGTTTATATATATATATATATATATATATATATATATATATAAACACACATATCATATAAACATATTATATATACATATACACACATTATATAAAGATCTCCCTATTTCCAAAATCTGAAAGATTCTAACATTCAGGACTGAAGAATAGTTCAGTTTCAAAGGAAGTGTTGAATATTCAGGAGCATGTCTCGGGTTTTTGTACCATATTTTCGAATACAATCATCCAGCTGTTAAACCAACACGACAGGCCCTGATTGAGCTGAAGTTCTCCCATCACGTCTCACAGAATGAGAGAAACCAGACCTCAATGAACAAACTTCAAATGTTCACAACCACAGCTGAGTCAGGCTTTCAAAACGAATATTTTTAAGCAGTAACATTTTTACGTTTCAGTCGGCAGAGCTCAGCGCTGTTTCCCTCGAGTCTCTGATTGATGAGTAACTGAAACAAAGAGCAGAAGGAAAAGACGCCTCACTGAGTGAGTTAGCCACAGTAGCCAACAGCTCCGGGCTGAACCTTCAGGGAAAAGACCACTGCGCTCACAGAAAGATCTGAAAAACAGCTTTGTGCAAGACAGACAGAAAATGTATAATGTAAATGCTAAAGGTTTTCAATCTTTTGGTGGGTGAGCAGCATGTGTGTTTGTCTGTGAGATTTGGGTCAGTGTTCATTCTAATGCAGTCGACATAACACAGATAGCCAGTGACAGGTCACTCCAACACACACACACACACACACACATACACGTACACAACTCATCAGATCAGACACGGCTAGATTAGATCTTCTTTTGCTTCCAAAAGCTCATCCAATCAGATCGCTGCACTGCTCCAACAGTCGCATAACGACCGACCTTTAAATCCGCAGGACGAGCAGCTCATTGGGAGAGTGTGTGTATGTGTGAGTGTGTTGTGGAAGAAATTTAAAATGCAATAATCATCCAACCTTACCGACTTCCCTGTGCTTCTACATCCACATACAAACAAAAGTCAATCCGATTAAAAAAAAAAATCATACATTTGTCATCACTTCCAACAGGTTCAGAGTGTTTGTTTGACTGGGCACATCATAATGGTGTGTGTGTGTGTGTGTGTTTTAGGGGTCATTGTTTGTTACCTTCAACAAAGCCTATATTGTTCCAGTAGAAAATCCTTCAAAATGAACCAACACACTCGTGGGGTTTGAGGAAGGGAGGAATGAAACAAGAGGAGGCTCGGCCTGCTGTTCCTCTCTCTCTCTCTCTCTCTCTCTCTCTGCATGGATCACTGGACTGATGGAATTCAACACTTCTATCATGTAACCACTCACTCCTTTCTTTTGTTTCAGCTCCGCTTCTGCTTGTTTTTTGTTTATTTGATCCCTTCTTTCTGTTTATTTTTTCCTTTCTTCACATTTTTTTTTTACATTTCTGTTACCTCCTCTTCCATCATTCTTTCTGTTTTCCCCTCCACTTTCTTTCTTTATTTATTTCCTATATATTTTTTCTTTGTTTTGTTCGTTCCTTCCTGCTTGTTTCTTTCTGTCCATGTCTTTCTGCATTTCTTGGGCTTCTTTCCTCCCTTACTTCCTGTTTCTTTATATTTCTGTTTAAATCCCTCTGTTTCTTTCTCTTTATATTTCCTTACTGTTTCTTTCTTTCATTTCTTTGCTCTTTCGCTCTCTTTCTTTAGTAAACAATGCCACCCATTCAGTCAAATTACCTGTAAGTGAAGAAAATGACCAGCACATTCTGTTACTGAAGATGGCTATCTGTGTTCTCGCAAATTAGACCATTTCAAAACACCAGCACAAACCATTATGCCAATTATATTCAGACTATATTAAAAGCATTTCTGGGTAAAGCGTTTTGTGATTAATGAAGCAGAGGGGAAAGCAGAGCGTGTGTGTGTGTTCTCGACAGCAGTAATCCAGATCTCCCAGAATTCAACATGTACAGTAGCACGTTTAATTCAGATCCTGGCCTTGAAGACCTGCTTGCCCTCATCATATTTTGTGTACCTGTGTGTGTTAGAGAGGGAGCAGAGACTGTGCACA